AGAACATTTACATTAATATCGTAAAATCCTGCACTCTTATTTGTCTTAAGTGCATTAAAAGAAATTCGAAGTTCATTTACTGATAATTCAGATTCATCCATTATATATAGTGAGTTTTTTTTAAATAGGATAGGAATTTTTTTTTTCCTGAATTATCCTGTTAAGTTTGTCCCTATATTTATAAAAATTTATTTGAGGGGGTATACCCCTCAGAAATATCAAATTTTTCAAAAAAAATTTTATTGTTTTATTTTATTCAAAATTTATTATAGAATCATATTCTGAAAAGCATTTTTTAAAATTCAGTATATAACTTGAGGAAAACAAACTTTACTGAATCTTACTTTTTTGAGCGCCCTTGACAACCTCTATAGCAACGGTTAAATTTTTATTTGGCTAAGAAATTCTCCCCAAACTTATTATTTTAATACTGAGAAAAAAGCTTGCTGAAATGAGTTAATAACTTGTTTCTATTTTCCATTCATCAAAACATCTGTAAGAGTAAAAGCAATAACCGGACTTCTCATAATTTTCTTGCAGAAGTTTCTTTAAAACGAATTGTCACCTTAAAGTTATATATATCTATGCATCTGTTTATGTTTATATAAACTAAACCTTATACTTTTAATGGGTAGAGAATGTGTGAAATGCGCTACTCAATAAAAAAAAAAACTCAAAAAAAAAAAATTCATGGAAATCAATATACTTTAAATAAAACAAATTCAGCAAATAATAGTCTTCTACCTTCTACAGATTAACAGAGCTCAATAAATGTATCTTATTCCAAGATAAACCCTATTAATACTTCTGCAAATTCTAATTAAAAAAATATATGTGGATACAGAATAATTAATAGCACTTTATTAGCCATTGTTGTTCAGTAACTGATTTGCATATTTTTCTCTTTTTTAATTTTTAAAGTCTTTATTTGCTAACTTCTATTTTTGAATCTCCCGTCACAGTTATTTAATTTTCTAGTAATAAGTTTTTAACCAAATTTTCAGCAGTGATGTGTTTTTATATGATACATGCAATCTGCCAAAAGTTAATTATAAAACATTTCAGAGTTTGAGATATTGCTGTTTCAGCACTAAAAAAATTGTTTATTTAAAAATCTTCATAATCCGTGTAGTGCTACATGGAAACTAATAGTCAGATTTAAAAACTTTTGGCAGATTGCATAGATCAAACTGTTTTTTATCATTGGGCCAAGTTTTACTATGAACACTTTATTAGAATTTGAGATATTTTTGACAGTGCGATGTGCATATTTTCTTATATACGCCATTTTAGGTGGTTGTCATGACAACATAATCACTTGTAATTTTATAAATCAATTTTGTTTAATAAGATCTTTCATAGGCTTATTTTTAATTTTGACTATAAGATTTCACTTCCAAGATAATTTTGAAGGGGGTATACCACCTTAAATTTTCAGCATTTTTTTTCTCATCAAATATATCTTCATTTATATTAGTTTTCAACCTCTTTGGAATTGTGGGGTTTTTTATTGTTTTTTTCATATTACTTCTTTAATAACTTGCCATGTTTTTCTACTATATCCTATTGAATGTTTTAAGAAATTAGAATGGTAAATTTTTTTAATTCGTTTTTTTAATTGTTCAAAACAATTTTTGTATTTTTTGTATTTAATTTAATTACTATAAATTCTCTTTTTTAAGAATTTTTCATATAGCTATTGTTTTTTTTTGATGATTTTTTAAGGTAAGTTGTCATTCACGGGGGTTATTAAATATTTTAGAAGTAGTTTTTCCAAGTTTTGGAAAATTTCATAATGTTTAGAAAACAATCGTATAAACAAGTCGTATGCATCATTTGTATCACTGTACTTAGTTAAAAATCCCAAGTCAATTTTTCCTAACAATTCACATAATTTGTTAATGCATTGACTATTTATTTGCCTTACGTATGTTGTAGAAGAACTGATAGCGTCAGAAATTACAGAGTAAGTTATAAGAAAGTTTGGATAGTGATCGCTAAAATCAGTTTGTAAGATGCCACTTTTCACTTTAGAAACCATCTAATTGTTAGTAATAATATTATCAATAATTGAAATATTATCTTAGGTATTACGTTTTCTGGAAGAAGAGTATTTACAAACCGTTTAGCATAACAGTCATTATTTATTTTTTCGATATCCATGTTAAAATCACCTGTTAAATAAACATGCTTTTTAATGACTTTTGATAATTTTGATAAAATGGAGAGGTTAAGGCCATCGCTCTTGACATTTCTAAAGCTTTTGATAAAATTTGACATGCTGGTCTTCTCCATAAGCTTTCTTCTTACGGTGTTTCTGGTAAATTTTTTAAGATTATTGAATCCCTCCTTTCTAATAGTAGTATAAAAGTTGTCCTCGATGGACAGCATTCTTCTTCATATTCTGTAACTTCAGGGGCTTCTCAATGTTCTATCCTAAGCCTTATACTCTTTTTTTTAAGTTTAAGCGTTTGTTTTTTATTTTTTTTTTTTTATTTTTTTTTGCCCGACCAACCAGAGACACCTGCAACTAGCGGTGGCTCTGAACTCAATTAAAGAATAATAATAATAAATACAAGATGAACTAATCAAAGAAAAATACGAATAAAAACAAGATGAAATATTTAAAATTGTTTAGAAAAAAAGCTAGAAAAAAAGGAAAATTTATATCAATGAAAATGACATAAATTGCGCCTCATTTTTATCGGAAAGTATTCGTTTTTATGGGTCAATTCAAAACATAGTAATTTGAAATTATTATTGATATAAAACCATGGCATTTTTCACATATAATCTAGACATGTAAGCTACATATTCTAGATGTGGTAGGTGTGATGTAGATGTGATGTTGTCAGTTGACACATGATGTGGTGTTGAGAGTTGACACATGATGTGGTGTTGTGAGTTGACAAATGTTGTGGTGTTGTCAGTTGACATATGATGTGGTGTTGAGAGTTGACACATGATGTGGTGTTGTCAGTTGACACATGGTGTGGTGTTGTCGGTTGACACATAATGTGGTGTTGAGAGATTTTGAGATTATTAAAATAAATCAAAAATCAAAACAACTTTCTGATTTTTTTTTTTTAAAGTTTTTATTTAATATATTTAATAATATTATTTACATTTTTATCTTAATAACTTGTTATTGGTAATCTAAGTCTTCTAAGTTGTGTTGCGTTTATTTATAAAATGTTTACTTGTTGAAATTGAGTGACACAATTTCCGTTCTGTATTCTTTAATTTATATTTTACTTGAGTTAAGTAAAGATTAATCATTGTTATTAACGGAATTGTTTAATCAGTAAATATTTTGGTGAAAGAATCCATTTAAATAACTACTATTGCTTTTTTCCGAGAATTGTGTATTATTGTATTTCAAGTTTTTGTATGTTTTGAGTATTGAGTGTTAATTCTTGAGTATTTCAATTATTATGTGCTAATCAACTCCTATTGTATTTTTCGAGTATTGTGTGCAATTTTAAACTTAAAGAACATTTTTTAGACATCAGCACTTTAACATCTATAAATTGAGCACCTTAACATCTATCAATTTTTTAGACACCAGCATCCTTAAGATCTACTAATTAAGTTTCGTTTTGGAAACAAAACCAAAAAAACCATGACACAAGTATGCTATTAATTTTCTAAATAGGAAATGTTGATTTCCCAACTTTTTATTTTATGACATAACTTTTTACTGTTAATCAAAAAAAAAAAAGCATCAAATGAGCCAAATACCAAATTTTTTTGCAGATTTTAAGAATATGGTGGTGAATAAAAAAAAAGTAAGCATAAATCGTATAGAGTTTTGAGCATATGAAACAACACCTGACACATTTTCAATTTGAGACTATACTGACATAATTGGTATTTATTCATATATTTTGTGGTAAGTGATTTATTTTGTTATTTTTATTTTTGTTAGTTTAGTATATCTATACTTTTAATATCATCAAAAAAATATTGGTGCTTTACAAATTTATGAATAGTTGGTTTTTGGCTATTTGTAGTGAGTCCTTTTTTACTGCAGTATGGAAAGGCTTAAGTCGCGGGGTAAAGCATAAGTGGTGATGACGTTTGTCTGACGGGATAAACTAGTTATAAGTGCTGATCCTCATCGAAACGCCATTAATAATAGACGCGACTCTGAGGAGATGTTTATTACTTAATCACTACACAAATTAAGTTTACTCATTAGCATTAATGTTTTTTTTTCCATTCCATTGAGGTCTTCTATTGTTGTTAGTGTACTTTTTATTTTGTAATCAATTTTTTGTTTTATAAGTTTTTGTTTGGTTATATATTTGTTGTATATCTTCGTTCATATTAGTGTTTATTAAACAATATATATATATATATATATATATATATATATATATATATATATATATATATATATATATATATATATATATATATATATATATGTATATATATATATATATATATATATATTTAATTTTTTTATTATTATTTTTATTGTAAATTCTTGTTTTAGGTGCATTGTCTGTCTTATTTATTTTTAAATATTCCTCTATTAATCTTTATTTTTTACTTCTGTCTTATTTATTTTTAAATATTCCTTTATTAATCTTTATTTTTTTTTTGACAACTGTCAAAATATGCTTTGTTTAAAAATAATTCTCCTATATTCTAATGTACTTCATTTCTTCCCTCAGGCGTTCACTGCTCGTGTGTGATCATTCGGCGAACTTTATATGCCAAAGTTTATAAACAACACTTAAGAGACATTTTCAATCAATTTCAGACTATACTGATATAATTTACTAATATTTAAACCAGAATACTGACATTCATCATTCAGTACTGACATTCAAAATTCAGTATTAATACCCAACTTTTAGTACTGACATTCGACATTCAGTACTGACACCCTACATTCAGTGCTGGCATCCGACTTCAGTACGTCTGTACATCCGTTACTATTTCAAATATCGTAAGTAAAAACATTGTAAGCTTTTAGAAAAAAGACGGTCTCGCAAAACTTAACTCTCTCATATAAATATTATATACAAATACAGTAATAAATTATGAGTAATATTATATAAAAATTATATACAGATAAATAATATTGCTTAATCATAAATTAATTTTTTCACAATAAATATCGTAGATACGAGTCATTCTAATCCAAATCCTTCGCCGTTTTCAATTGCTATGGTTAGTTTTTTAGCAAGTGTTTTACGACCCTTGTACATAGGTAAACAGAGTTGATTAAAACAAGTGTGCGCAACGGGAAGCCTAAAATGAATTTCTATCATTAAATTTATAAAACAAATTTATTAAAATAAAAATATATAAAAATCAATAAAAAGCACAAATTTTCAAATTACATTTGAGTTGCGTTCGCACCACTGACTTTTGTCACTTTAAAGTTAATTTCTTTAACACCACCTATGGGAATCCTATCACTTCCAGTGCAAAAAAACAAAAACTTTCTTTGTTGCTTTTGTGAATACGAATATAGGACGTCCCACAAATTCCTTTAAAATAAATAAAGTTGTTTGGTATTATGTATGCATGTTACATGTATTATATGTATGCACGTTGTATGTATTGTGAGTGTTGTAATGTACGCTTGTATTTACATAGCTTATTTGTGGTTAAATAAACTAAAAAAAAATTTAAAATACGCTATCTATTTTCAAAAATATATGATGAAATATTTACCTAATTAAAACACAAATATTTAAAAACCTGATAACAGTATCCGAATAGCGATAGCCATCATACTTTGTCACTTTTTCTAAATCACGAATATTAAAATCCGCATCACCAATAACTAAGGTTTCAACTTCGTCTGGTCGAAGAAGCTAAATGAAAATCAAAACTACTAATGTAAATAATAAACTGCTGAAGCAAAAAGTAAATTAACGTAAAACACTAAATTTATCCAAAAAGCGGTAATTATTTTGCGAAGAATACCAACGCTATTAGAGATAAAAAAAATTAGTTTATTTAGTTTGCAATAAGTTTGGAAAAAAGAAGTATTACTTATATATAATATTGTTTTACTCCATTTTAATTACAGTTTATTTTTAGGAAATAGCAAAATGCAAATAATTTGTAAACAAAAACAAGAACTAAGAAACAATAACTATATTAATAGAAAATTTACAACAATAAAATATTACCAATAATGCATTAGATGCACACACACTGTGAAATCCATGATAAAAAGAATAAAATTGCTGGTATATGCATTTATTCATAAAATAATCGATATACAAACTCACATATTCTAAAAAAACATCAAAAAATGGTGGTAATTTATCGTTTGGTAATACACTATCAACAAATAATAAAAATTTATAATACAAAAACTGATATTGCAACACTTATTATTTAGGTTAAAAGTATGCTAAAACATTAACTTAAAAAATTGGTTGAACATGATGAAGTTCAGTACTCTAAATCGTTAATTACTCATAAACAACTTAATTTTTATAACTTTTTTACACAAAGAAACTAAGTAGTTTATTGAAACATTCAAAAGAATTTTATCTAATCTGATTACCTCTCTCAAGGAAGATGACAAACTATTTTCCTCTAATATATTTTTTGAATCTAATAAATCAATAATATTTTTTGAATCTAGTAAATATAATTTGAAGCTAATAAATCAATATTTTTTTGAATTTAATAAATCGAAAGAAATAAATCGAATTGCTGGTTTTAAGTATCTCAAAGTAAACTAAAAATAGGGGTCAGTAGCCGACGTCTATGTAACTACTATTCTTATTAATAGAAAAATTATTGAAGATTCAAAAATTATACTTATTTATGCTTTCAACAATGGCAACGAGTTAAGCATTAGTACTAACATAATAATAATATTTTGATTATAAAAACCAGGCTTAAGCAAACATTGTTTTATGCATTGTAAAGTTATTCATTTATTCTTTGAAGCCTTGAATAGACTCCAGTGGCTGATGGTGATGTGATGATGTCTATTTTTTGCCTTATGCATTCTGGAAAACTTAAAATGAATTAAAAGGGTCAGAGTCAAAATTTTTATGAATACTATGCATATTAAGTTGTTGTATGACAGAAACTGCATCAATAATCTTACCGGATCATGTATGGCTGCACGTTAGCTAGGTTTTTATTGTGTGTTTTGATAGATTTTATAACAACATGATTGCTGGTATTTTTATACTTTATTTATGATAAAAGGTCTTTGATTTTCAAAACTTTAATCGATTAAAGATAAAAAAGAGTTCAGTGGTGTTTTTTTGTCAATATTAGAATCATGTCAAAGCAAGACAAAATTTAGACACTGTTACTCAATTTGAATAAAGGTTAATTTGTCATAAATATTATTTTTTCATAGCGGTTTTACATCATACCATTAAAGTACCAGCTATATAAAACAGTGATGTGTTGTAATAGAGGTAACTCAACAAGTCATCAACAATGTCTCTGATCAGTGGGATTAATTTTCAATAGGGATAGCTGATGTTCTGGCTGATGGCA